TTCAGAATAGATGTAGTTTCATAAATAGTTTATCAAATCTACATGTGGGAGAATATATATACCGCTTTTATTAACATTTACATATTTATAATTTATATGGGAGTATGAATAGTTTTACTGCCCATTGTGAGAATCTTAATACGCACGAACAATTACTTTCTGGCAATTGGTACATGGTTTAATAATGGTTTTACACTATCGGTATTTCAGAACATGAGACACGAAGTCCCATAAGATGATAGGTCTATCCTATACTTAGTCAGTGGTAAAAGTACAGACGAGATATCGTCTGTGGTAAAAGGCTACATACCAATGATCGGTTAACGAAAAATAGTTGGCGCCGAATATTACATATTCTTCGGTCGATCGGTTGCACGAATCCTGCTGTTGGTATCACGTTATCGACTACAGGCAAGTTACCATGGAACCAGCTTCATCGATAAAGTAGATTTCGTTGTACAGATTCCTTCCCAGAAATTATCCATAACTTTTTAACTTACATATTCAACAGAAACATGAATGTCCATTAATTATTCCGAAAGTTATGTATGCAAACTTTTAAAGCATTACATATCAAACCCTCACGTACATTGTTCCAAGTTATAGCCCTCTCATTGGAACCAAAAAAATATCGATACAATGCCCACGATTGTATTCAACAAGGTGTCCAACGTCGCGAAGAAAACAGTAAAGAAACAAAACCGGGAAGCAGTTAATTCTATGCAAATGAAAGGGGCGTGGCATAGAATTCCTGGATGTATCATTATCATCGGCCCGATATGTATTACGTCCTACGTGCGGTCATCCGATTACAGGTGCATATAAGTGTGTCCTCGTGCGTATCGAACTGCATAAATCGACGCAAATTTTCCGACGATGCATTTAATTGTGACAGAACAATGTGATGTACATGAGAAACTTATCGGTTAATGCATCTGACTAGACTGGACTCTCCCCTAGCATTATTATTGAACCGAAAAATCACTGGTACTGAATGTATGTAGTATATAATCGAAACATAAATTATGTAACTTACTCGACAACATGAAAAGTTAACAGCTTTATTTGTAACAATTCATTTATTACTGAGTTACTAGTTATTTGCAGATTCGGGTATGCTGTAAGATCATACAATCTGCAGTTTAGTCGTGACACTAATGATATAATTATTATATTTATCTTTAACCCTGAAACACCACACCCCACCCAGCATACGTAAACACCACACTAGACGAATTGGAATTTTGAATTTTTGATGACTAAGAGCTTGAAGAGAATAAAAACATATTAAAAAAATAACACATTTATTAGGGTAAAATTTCCTGAGAAAATCAATGGTAATAATTGCTATAGTAAGAAATAATTTTTTAACCATGAAAATGTGAAACTGTTGTGATAGCCAGGTAGAATGGTATAGACGAAACAATGTTTCGTTGCTGCAAATTTACACTACAATAATTTGTAAAAAAAATAATATTTAAACGGTATTATCCCTAATACATTTTTGATATATTCAATGTATTTAATATCTGCTATCCAGGCATTGAAATCACCAAGAATAGACCCGAGGCTGCCTCTATTAATTAATAGCGTTGCACTTATTCGGTTTCTGGATACCAAAAAATTTATACGGGGAATAATCTGACATTCTGAAGCTACAGAATGCGGACTGGTAGCGCAAATGTTATACGAGCAGATGGAAGTTATCGATTTTACGAAATTGCAGCTGTGAGGGCATAATGCGTCCGCGAGATTGTAAAACGTGGCGGTGCAATTTTTCAATTTACACCGCGTGAAAAGGAATTTCCGGACTATGAAAGTTTCCTGGAATGCATCTACAAGAGTTCCTAGGCGGAGTGTACTTTTCCGTGGTAACCGCGAAAAGGGAAGTTTATGCCGTAAAAGTTTCATGCGTCTCGCGCGCGCAGGTGAATGCAAATAATATAATTTTCTTAACTTTCTTATCGTGAATTTTCCCCTCGAGGAAACAACAATAAATTCGCGTTTTCCCCAGCGCGAATTTTCACCGCTTAAAGTTATTCCGAACATTACGATCTGGGATCACGAAAATCTCGCTTGAGATACTATTCGTAGAGATAAATAGATCGAATATTAAATCTCTATAAATTTGGAATGTAAAATAGTAGCTTTATTTTCAGGGAATAATATTTGTACTACTGGATTTATTCGACGATATTGTACCTGCTGAAAAGGTATGGTGATCGTTTTTATTTCATCACTAATCTTTACTTTTCCCTAACCGATTTATTAATTAAATATAAGAAATAGAATAAACATAAAAATGCACAATAAGCCAAGCGCTATGAACTAAAATGTCATTTACTTGTCCTTGAATGGTTTAACAATTCACGATTATGGTAAAATAAATTGCATTTAAGCACAATGTGTATAAATATTGCAATTGGCTGTATGAAACTTTAAATACAAATACATCCCCATTGAACGCAGCATTAAGATTCTAATATTTTATTGACACTTTGCTGACAGGAGGGTTTAACATAAGACCGTACACTCTGAGCGGGTTGTAGTATGCACAAAACTAAGAATATTTAGAAACTACTACTCAACTTTTATTTGTCAAACTTTACCTATGGGAAAAGCGATTATTCCCTATCTCTAGTTCTTATGTAAGAAAGACGTTTTACTACGTCAACCGCACACAGATTTTGTTATTGAAAAAACGTACTACTATGTCATCCGACATCAAAGTGTTAGAATGACAACAGAACTTTAACCGTATAAAATTCCTATTCGTTTTGAAATTATGAATAAAATATTAATCTTTCCAAAAAATAGTAGTGTTTTATTGAAAACTGGAGAAGTATCGCGGAAAATCTGAGAAAGTCCTAAGAAATTTATATTCTACAGGTGTATCCACATCAAAACGGTTCCAGTTAAACCGATGTAAAGGGTAATAGCTCATACTGGTTTTTCGAGCTGGGAGAGGATCGCATAGACTTGTGTTTTTCGTTGTTTCGCCAGAGAATGCAGTGGTGAGTCAATAGCGAGTCGATGAATTGGACGGTAGACAGCTTGTAAAAAGGATCGACTTAGCTGGTACGATCGCAAGGAAACGGCGCAATCGTCGTGGATGTGCCCGCGTGCTTGACAGACTGACTAATGACCCATTCGTTCGCCTGATACGGAAATCTGGAATATAGGCAGCGACGTGTCTTTTTTCCCACCGTTCCGTTGATTGGATAGAAACGAATCGACAGACCTGGCCAGCAATTAATCGAGCACGGCAAAATATTTCAATTGTTAGATATTCTCGACATGGACAGGTTGACTAATTGAATCGTCGGATTGGGGGCGACCTTCGCTTCGACAATATTTTATTGAAATATCAAATTCACTGGCACATTCTTGAATTAAAAATCGAAGTGAGGAAACAATAAATCTGTTGGGTTTAGTGTGTTCTACATAGTGTAGTTTATATACAATCTATAGAGATGAAGGAGAAAAAAGGTTGGAAATCAAGACGAATTCAATTAGTATTTATGGATCATCGAATAGTTTCTAAGTAACTATTTTTTAAAAGTTATTGCTTAATTAAATCACCGTAAATTATAGCAAAAACAACTTTAAAACTGGAACTAGATATTCCATTTTAATATGCTTCTTTTATTTTTGAGTCGTAGTGTCACACCTTTCGTGCTACACTAAAGCACCTAACATGACTCCATATACTTTCAACTATCTCATATTTAGACCCTAGCCTGTATTGGAATCACCTCCTCCACCAAACTACGAATCTTATTTCAAATCTAAAAAAAATTTATTACGAAAGCATGAAAAAGTAAAAAAAAATCACGATAATACATAAACAGAAATTGCACAGAAATTCGCACATTTAATTGTAATTTCGGAAGTATACGAACGATTGCGTGAGTCACTGTACCTTTGCATCGATAAGAAAAGAACTTTTCCCGAGAAACACGAACCGTTTCACGGAACTAAGGTCACGTTTTGTCACGACGGTAAAGAAACTTTGCTCGATGCAACCGTGTGGCGAGTTTTTCTCGATTTCGTACTACGAAGCAGGCGTGTCGACGCGGGCGTGTTCACGACCGGATGAAATTTTTAATCGCTAAGCCGGTCGTAAGGCGAGGGGAAACGTGTCGCGCGATCGTCTCCGAGATCCGGAGTGACCTAAAGTCGGCGAGCAAGGGTGATAACTTTCCGTGCGAAGGAGCCGACAAAGCAGCTTATATGGCAACTTACGCCGGCAACTCGTTTCGCCAAAGCGGTTTCCTATCTCGCGCTATTCGCTCCCACAAAATACAGAAGGACAGCCGAGGCCTGTCGGCTATATTAGTATACGGCTTGTACAAACAGGCCTGAAGTTAGTGAGAACCGAGCGAAGGAGACGACTGGATAGGCAAAAACCATCGCTGGGAGGGAGTGCCAGAAGCCTACCGAATTTCTAATCAGTACCACGGGAAAATTGATTTTATTACAGACTATTGGGGTACACATGGTGAGTGATTTTAGAAAATATAGAAGATTGCTGAATAGGACAATGACCTAGGTTGGATCGCTACTGTAATTTGTCATCTGTAAGCAATTTGCGTCGTATGATAGACAATATATATTGCTTACATACTAAGTTAGTTAATGCGATCACCACTGTCATACACATATTGTCTATCATACGGCGTAAGTTACAGTAGTGGTCTAACCTAGGTGATGGTCAAAATACGGCAACCTTCCCCTATATCTGTCCCTCCCCTAGTCTGTATTAAGTCAGACTTTTCAAACTTTAGGGGAGAGAACAACAAAAGTGTAACAGCCTTGTAATTTTGGAACTGTTCGGTAAGCATTCAATCAGAAATAATCGCTAAAAAATCTGTCTCTAATAACTTGATCACCCACTTTAGATATTTCGATAGATTCAATACATGCAATGTCCATTATCTAGGAATCAAAACCACCAAGTATAGGTACTTGGTAGACGATATAGTAGAGAAATTGCTTACCGCCGAGTTGGTCGTCTGGATGGGCACCTTGGTCCCCAAACCTGTGATTCCTCCTAGACACCTACGCGCACAATCGGGATCGTTATCCTTGCATATCGGGCAGCCGACCGTAGACGATCCGCCACCGTCATCCCTGGGCACGTGATTGCTACTGGTGTTGGTCGTGTAACCTTGGTCCGAGCTGGCGTTCGAGTTCGGCCTGGACTCGTCCGAGCTGTCGAACGGTTTGATGTTTCGCGGACGATGTACGATTCCCACCGGCTCCCATATCTCGCTGGTCGACGAGGCGTAGTAATTGTTCTCCTTGGTCTCGCGGCTCCTCTCGTCGACGACCTTTCCGCCCCGTGTCACGGTAACCTCCTCCTTCGTCACGATGGACGACTTTACGTTCAAGGATGTCTCGAGTCGTACCGGGGCCCTTCGCAAGTATTCCAAGTTACCAGATATCATCGTTGATGATCCCCTCGAATGTTCAACCGATTCGCTAACTCGCGTGAGAAACAATGAAACTCGTGCAAGGTAATTTAAGGTACATTACTTTTTACAAGTTATAAATAAAGTTAATAAAATCTACTGTACATATTCTACATAGGACTAATAAAGGTACAATAATGACAAGAAGAAGAATTTTGTCTTTGAAGCTACCATTCTGAAACTTGAATGAGCTTTGTAATCATAAGGAAAAGAATTTTGTTTCTAAGGCTATCGTTCTGAACCTTGAATAAGCCTTGTTATAATGTTTACTGCCTCCGAAGAAATGATTCTAGATTATAAGAGGAAGATGCTTCAGAGTAATTTGATAAAATAACAAGGCAACGCTAATCCGTTGATCATTTAGTCGATATTCGGACTAACTAGAGAGGATCCACGATGATACCTGAGGATTCCGGCCTTAACGAGGATCTGATTGAGCAGATCGCACGGTGGCACCTGACCGGTTATCATTGCCTCACGGATCGCGACGCCGTCCGGTCCCTCGAGGGGAATCGGCACGCCGTTTATCAGCAATACTTCCTCCTCTTTCACGCTGGACTTCTTTTCGTAATCGACCACCTTCACCTCGGGCCCGAGGATCGACTCCACCGTCGACTGGATCTCGTGATCGTCCATGCCTGGGAACCGTACGGAATGTTGGTACGCGAAACTCGTAGCTGATTTATCGGAACCTCGTGCGAAATCGACATGGACGTGGCTGCGGTCCCTTTTGACAGACTTTTACGGCGTTTTTTGAGCGTTCACGCGGTCGGCTTCTCGTTCAGACTCGTCGATCCGACGTCTGATACGTTGATTAAAATTACACGAGTTGTGAATTAAAAGTTTTTAACGGAAATTAGAAATTTTAGTTGTATGATAGTTTAAATAAAGATATTATTTGGAGTATTTAAGTAAGCATGCAGTAACGATTTTTAGTGTCATTTTATTATTTTATGTAATCAATTTTTATTGTTAGATTATTTTGGATTTATATCGCGAATTCGGGAAATGAAACGCCCTCTAGTATTGCACCTCAACTTTCCTTATTAATACATTTTGGTTAAAGCATGACAAATAAAATTATCATGTAAAATCATGTTTTAATATAATTTCTGTACTCTGTATTAGACATCGTATTATTTAATCAATATGTCGGATGTTAGTATTAGGTGTACAAATTAATTCATGGCCATCTTTTCATAGATTTCTTCTTTATTAACAGAAAACCAAATTACAGTCGAGTCTCGAAAATATTCCCCATCATTTTCTACAGATTTACGCCATTTCTCAGACAGTTGGCGACTATCCTCTCGAACAAATAATGACGATTTTGAGTCAATAATTAATTGTGGTGGCCATGAATTAATTTGTACACCTAATATATTAGTACTTATATATTTCCATTTCTGTCTGTACTAATAATTTTTTAAAATAGTAGGGCACATTGTACCATCAAACAACAGAAAACTACATACTACAGAATTAAAGAGTATATTAATTCTTTGTATAAATTCACCTACAATATTTAAGGTCTTAATGTATGCACCGAGCGACTTCAGTATTTTTAGCTGTAGCAATAATAAATATCCCGACGAAGTAGTTTCCTGAAATCAATCTCCGTTCTCAAGTTCTAAATCTCTTGAAATTCCACAGACAGCGTTCGAGGAAACCGATGCGCGATGAAAGAAATATTCTTCGTTGCGGATCGTGCTCTAAACTGCTTCTAAAGCAACTGGTATTTCAAAAGATGTTTTGCAAACGTGCCGAATACATTCACCGAGAGGATGCACTCTCAATTATTGCGAATTTCATGAAACCAACATAGGTATCGTTTTTTTTTTTATGTTTACAAAAATTCTTCAGAGGGTAGAAATGTTATCATTATAGAATCATATCATCAAAATGTATGGGCAATATCTTGAGCAATTATTTTAGCGGAGATTACTTCAGAATCGATAATTCCGAAATATGAAAACAAAGTTTATGAAATATTTAATACGACAGAGTGATCGAATATAATCCTTTGTTGAAATCGTTTCCATAAACGTAAATCTGTTTATCGAACGGAGCTACGTTTGTAAAACGCCAATCAGATTACGTAATCGTTCTGCAAACGTTCGATGCGCTATTAATTAATAAAAGGCAGTATCCAATGGCGTGACTAATTTAATACGATAACGTGGTTCAATTGCCGTCAGCCACCAGTGTACGAAGCCTGCGAAATTAAATTTCGCGACACCGTTATAAGGTCGACGTCGAAACGACAAAATGAGAGTTCGAGGAAATACTAATGTAATAATTTGCACCTGCCCGACCGGTAGAAGATAAGTCATGCTAAAATACGTTCGAAGGGAACGTCGAGGAATCAGCTGCATACTGAATTGCAAATAAAGCTGTGAAAAGGAAAATATAAAAATACGGATCGTGGAACTCTGATCTGGCACTGGATCTAATGGGTTCGAATCGTTCGTGCAGAATTCCATGAAAAACTAAAAGTTCCCTTTCAATCCATTGGAAATATTTTCTGTGAATTCTTAAACCGTAAATGTTTTTTCTTTGGTATATAATTAGTACTTCGATCCTGTGTAATTAAGTTATAAAAAACAAAAGTTTAAGGTGTAATTTATTGCTACATTGGGGGTTTTATTCGGTCTAAAATATAGTCAGTGTTTAATTCAAATTAATTGCAGTTTTTATGAAAAATAAGTGAAAAATAGATAACACTTTTTTTCACTTATTTTTAATAGGAATGTTGTAATATGATTAATTGATTAACAGCCAACATGTCCCTATATTATCTCGCCAGTGTTGAACGTAAAATTCAATTTGAAATTAATATTACCTTGAATAATTCAGACATAAATTTAAATTGTGAGCAGAGCAAATAAAAGTGTCTAGACAGAGAGGAGCTCGAGTCGATTAGCCATATGCAGCATTATGTAGATGTAATCGGTGCAAATGCGTTCAAAATTATTCGTAACGAAGTCACGAGAATCACGATGTGAGTTAAGAGCTGGCTGGTGATTCTTAAAGACTCAGGTATTATCGGTAGAACACCTGCACGCGTGTATCCCACTACCCGAACCATCTAAACTAACCCAACCTAACTACCTGCACGGAACCAGAAACGCACCTGCGTCAAGAATCGATGTCCAAATATACGAACACAATTCCTCTGTAACGATGCTGCAAACATATTGATTTTTATCGATCCATAAATCGTCTCATCTATCGTGACTTCAATAAACCATTGTTCTGACGACTATTTTCTTTTAACCCTTTGAACCCGACTTTTTGTAAAATGCGAATTTAGCTGAATGGAACAATTTTCGAACAAAATTAATGATTTTGCTAGCGTATAATGGTTTTATCGTTACACGTGATCGAGAAGCATAACATGCAAATCGTTCGTGTCATACAAATTCGCGTCAGATATCAGTGTAATAGGTAGCCCCTATATCAGATGAAGCAGCGAGGTAGTTAATGATATGAAAATGCGTTAATGACCGGTTCGTTGTAACAAACCACAGAGGATGGTTCAATGCAACGCGATTTCCTAGACACATGGTTGAACCGAGACGCGGGTATAATATGGTACATTGTCACGCTTGTCGTGCAACAATTTTTCCTTTCTATACTCATGGGAATCGGAATCATGAATACTATCAAGATTTTCATTAATTACGTGGGAATTTCTGCTCAACGATAACGTCTAATCGTATTAGTAATTGAAACATTTATGTAGAAAGGAACATGATTTACGCGCAGCGTAACGAGATAAATTTTGCGCGGAAATTAATTTAATAATCGTCATTATGAAATTAATGTTTCCTGACAACAAATTATAGAAGCATGGTTATTAGATACTTATGTCCCGCCACATTTGTTGGTTACGCTTGGATATATCAAGGACGAACACGTCGAGATTGTTGTAACTGATTGAAGATAAATACTGATTAATAGTGTAATGCTCCTATCGCTTTGAATAATTAATATTATGGTAGTATCTAGTCTTGTAAGTAATAATCAGACTCTGGTACCTTAGACGAAAGTTCAATAAATCATGCCTAAAATTGCAACCTATTTTTAAGAAACAAGAGGATGCAATCATTTTCTGAATTATGCTATATAGATGTAACTAAGTTTGTGTTTGGAAATAAATAAATACCGAGGAGGAACCACGATTACATTTCTAGAACTGATTTTGTTGATCAAATAGTAATTTTTAATGGACTTAGGTAACTTTATGTATTATTATGGTATGTTGGATTATATATATATTAATGTATTATACAATGTAATTTAATATACAATTGATGTTAGCAGTTTTAGTGTGAAGAATACGATAGAAACATTCCACAAAGAAGCCGATAAAATCTAAAAAGTCGATATAGTCTTTCTAGATAAATAATACTGTTCTTTTCTATACTTTGCTTTCAATTGATTTCTCCCAGGTATAAATCAGCGAAGGTAGATTAGGTGCATCAACATGTCCGCGCGAATGAAGCTAAAACATTCTTTGCATCATCGGCCCGCGATGTTCTTAACCCCATTCGCGGCCGAGGTCACAGGCAAAGTTCTTGGTTTATCTTGCTGGAATCTTCTTGGTTGTGATGGAAATGCTTTGTGTCTATTATTGCGTCGAGACATGAATAATGCAACAGCTCGCGGTTTAAAGCTGTCCTTTCATTTGATTTTCGAAGGGAAATTTGACAATGCAAATATTACGGTGGCTGATGAACACCGTATTTTAGAAACTGAAGGGAATATTACTTCTTTTATTATGTAAATATCTTCATCCTTCTTAATTTAATAACAATATGACCAGAGATTGGCGTAAATATGAACACATAGTAATTTTTTTATGATTTAGTGAAGATGTTGGATTTTTAAAGACTCTCAGAGAACTTGGAATGGAAATTCTTAGACAAATATCAGAAGTTTTAGCTACCATATGAATATTCACCATTAGTATATGATTTCGTTAATGTCAATGTTACTACTTCGACGACTATTATATCAATTACTAG